CGGAATAAATGTCAAAACAAATTTAAATTGAAGGGATTTATTGATTTTTATTTTCTAGACAGGTAGAAATGGTCATGGTGGAATGGTTTTCTATTTATTATACGAATTTTGTAGTGCCTAATCTACATATGAATTTTTTATGAAGATGCACATAAACTCATTGATTATGTATTGAGTAAATGTATTGTTGAATTCATGTTGTGAGGAATTTGTTCTGTGTTGAATTGCCTATGTGTTGAGTTGGTTTTGTCTTGAATTGTTGCGTGTTGAGTTGGGCTTGTGTAGTGTTGTAGCGTGTTTAATTTGTGTGTTGAATTTGTTTTGTTAAATAGTCATGGAACCGTATCGAAGAAGTGATTGTAATAAAAAAAATTGTATCTCGTTCGTGGGTACTCCTGGATAGATATATATTGCTGCTAGTACATATTGTATTTTATTGTTGAATAGCACTTTGATTGAAGTAAAATCTCCAATTAAACTTTCTTTAATATCGATGAGGCGACTGATATCAGATATTGTCATACATGTTATCAAACTCTTTACGTTTTTATAGATTGCCACTTCACCAGCCAATCATTTTTTGGTATTCGTTAATATATTCTTTCGTGTTTCACAACTAAAATAGGTATTGCAGTGGATGTATCGGTTATTATTCTTTGTTGCAATTGAAAGATCCACTGGAATAGGTGGTTTGGGTGAATCCATGTGGATATCCATGTTCTCATTTGGTTTCCTTGTGGTATTCGTACTCCGTTTTGAAGGACCCTGCGTGATAGAACTGGAATTTGATCTTTTATTCGTCATTGTTGTTGAAATCTGTGAGAATTGGAGATCTATTTGATCCGGCCGATGGGAAATGGGGTACAGCTCCTTTTCTAATATGCTTTCTTTTCATCGATTCCTGTAAATAATTAAATATAAATAAATAATGCAATTCAGAGAAATTTATGGATTTAAGACATTCCTAACAATTCACGGTGTTTTCTATATCTGTCTCCTGTATATACTTTATGAGAAAAATGAACTTTATTGAGGTGTTATACTTGTTAGTGTATGGCGCGTATGGGAAGCACAGAATATACCCTAAATGATGTATCTCTTTTATATGAAAATAATTTACCTGTTGGAAAATTGCTCCAGATTGATCCTGTATAATGCAAGATGAATGTATATCTGCACTCCTGAATTGGTCCTCACAAAGACGAAATGTTTTATGTCATGCGTGCGTGTAAAGTACCGGTTAACAGGGGCGTTTGGAGGTCGGTAAGTCGAATTTTACACGCACCACCAATCGTTCTTCACTTAACAGACGTTTCCAGTTTTACACGCGTCCTATGCTATTTTACTGGTATTTTACACGTTCTCAATAACCCCTAGCGACATCTTGCGGTACAAAAATAACCCATTATCCCAACCATACACCGATCAGCTGATCCATTAGACACTAACGAAACAAATCGCAGTGCGAAAAGCTAAAAAATAAACTACATAATAATAAATAATTAACTCAAAAAGTGAAATATGAATACACAAGAAGATATGTTTAGTGAATACGATGAAATACTAACAGATAATATACTTCGAAACGCTTAGGAAGCAGAGAAATGCTATCAAGAAAAAGCCAACTTTGAAAGAAAAAAGAAAATGAGTATTTTTTCTAAATATTAGAGAATAATTTTTTTTGCGCGATTTTTTTCCACCCCCCCCCCCCCAACCTGAAGAAAATATGAGGAAAGTTTGTTGATTTTTCATTATTTTTTTATTAGTATGAAGAATTAATAAACAAATTATTATTATTATTATTATTATTATTATTATTATTATCATTACTCATATTTTTTTGTCAGATAGATTGAAATATTTGAACAATTATTAAAAATCAACAAACTTTCCTCATATTTTCTTCAGGGTGGGGGGGTGAAGAAAAATCGCGCAAAAAAAATTATTCTCTAATATTTAGAAAAAATACTCATTTTCTTTTTTTTTCAGAGTTGGCTTTTTCTTCAGTGGGGGGGGGCTTCGCCACCAACTATCCACTCCCAAGTGGAAATTGCTTCAGGCCCACCTGAAGCATGATCAGAACTTGATCACGTTTTTGTAAGGTTCGACTGATCCGGTGATTCCTGATGAGAACCTGATCAAGTTCTGATCCAGCAGATCGGATCTGAAAAACTACAGGCGGGTTCAGATCAAGTTCTGATCAGGTAGACATGATCAGATGATGCCTGATGAGAACCTGACCAAGTTTTGATCCAGTAGATCGGATCCGAAAAACTGCAGGATGTTTCAGATCAAGTTCTGATCAGGTAGACACGATCTCACCCTGAGGTTGGCTGCTTGACCCCAATTTGATAAAATTCGGATTCGATGTCCTTGATCGGCACTTGAAAGGGGTCAATTGGAGAAAAAATGATCAGATTCAGATAATGATCCGCTCCACCTGACATCAATTTTAATAAGTTTTTCGGATAATTTAATTAACTATTATTATACAATTCGAATTAAGTTTTATCAACCATTATCAATCATTATTTTTAATCTCTAAAAAGGATCATTATACTATAATTAAAATAAATTAAATTAAATTAATTTAACTTAAAAAATTTATTTTAATTAATCAATTTAATTAACAGCCAGCCCTTTTCAAATGTACAGAAGGGAGGGATGATGATGCCGTAAATACGTATTAGAGGAGTATCAAACTTACACGCAAATGATCTTGAGAAAAAAAATTACTAAATGTCTATTTATTTATTAGAGTTATTATTATTATCATTATTATTATTATTTATTAATGAAATGAATAAAAATTTAATTGAACATATTTTATCTCTGAGAATACACACGCACATCCGCGAGATCATGAATAATCCTAAATTCAATGAATACCCCGATACAAATCAAATAGGCAATGTGCAGTTTACTCAATAGTAACAGCACGGTAGCGTAGTGGTTAGGGCATACGATTAGCAATCATAGGGTCCCCGGTTCGATTCCCAGCATCGGAAAACAAATAATATGCTTTTTCAGAGGTAGTAACAGTAAAGAATCATTAAGCGAGGCGGCCTACGGTGAAAGAATTGAATTATTTTTTGTTTTGAATTAATTATGATTGATAATTGTTATTGATACTGACAGACAAGTCATCCAGTTTTTATACAGTTGATTTGATCAAGTTCGGATCCATTCGTCCTGATCAAATCCGGATTGGTCGGAGGCGTAACATGTCTGATCAGGACCGGATCCATCAATTTGATCAATATCTGATCAGTGGTCAGGTCTAACCTGATCCAAACTTGATCGAGATCTGACCGGAATTTCCACTCGGGCTGTTCTCGTATATTTTTATCGCGTGGTATAGCGAAGAATGACTTATTTGGTCGTTGGGGACAATTTGGAATCGAGCAGCGCCTCGGCATTATGAATGGAAATCCTCTATCACTTCCTTCTCANCTTAAAAAATTTATTTTAATTAATCAATTTAATTAACAGCCAGCCCTTTTCAAATGTACAGAAGGGAGGGATGATGATGCCGTAAATACGTATTAGAGGAGTATCAAACTTACACGCAAATGATCTTGAGAAAAAAAATTACTAAATGTCTATTTATTTATTAGAGTTATTATTATTATCATTATTATTATTATTTATTAATGAAATGAATAAAAATTTAATTGAACATATTTTATCTCTGAGAATACACACGCACATCCGCGAGATCATGAATAATCCTAAATTCAATGAATACCCCGATACAAATCAAATAGGCAATGTGCAGTTTACTCAATAGTAACAGCACGGTAGCGTAGTGGTTAGGGCATACGATTAGCAATCATAGGGTCCCCGGTTCGATCCCCAGCATCGGAAAACAAATAATAAGCTTTTTCAGAGGTAATAACAGTAAAGAATCATTAAGCGAGGCGGCCTACGGTGAAAGAATTGAATTATTTTTTGTTTTGAATTAATTATGATTGATAATTGTTATTGATACTGACAGACAAGTCATCCAGTTTTTATACAGTTGATTTGATCAAGTTCGGATCCATTCGTCCTGATCAAATCCGGATTGGTCGGAGGCGTAACATGTCTGATCAGGACCGGATCCATCAATTTGATCAATATCTGATCAGTGGTCAGGTCTAACCTGATCCAAACTTGATCGAGATCTGACCGGAATTTCCACTCGGGCTGTTCTCGTATATTTTTATCGCGTGGTATAGCGAAGAATGACTTATTTGGTCGTTGGGGACAATTTGGAATCGAGCAGCGCCTCGGCATTATGAATGGAAATCCTCTATCACTTCCTTCTCACAAGTTTCAACCCTCCCTTATATAGGGGTATCCTATTTCCAGAAAGGTCTATTTTAGAACTCTCATGTTCAGATGTGTCTTCCCAGAATAAAAGAATGTTCTATATCTATAAACATGTAGAATTTAATGGATTAATTCATACTAAATGTTTTGTTTTGAGTAAATTGTATTATCAATTGCAATTATTCCTACCTCAATCAACTTCATTCCCATAAATTTCTGGAGATGTGAACTTATTGAGATTCAATCCTCAACTGATCTCCANCTATTTATTTATTAGAGTTATTATTATTATCATTATTATTATTATTTATTAATGAAATGAATAAAAATTTAATTGAACATATTTTATCTCTGAGAATACACACGCACATCCGCGAGATCATGAATAATCCTAAATTCAATGAATACCCCGATACAAATCAAATAGGCAATGTGCAGTTTACTCAATAGTAACAGCACGGTAGCGTAGTGGTTAGGGCATACGATTAGCAATCATAGGGTCCCCGGTTCGATCCCCAGCATCGGAAAACAAATAATAAGCTTTTTCAGAGGTAATAACAGTAAAGAATCATTAAGCGAGGCGGCCTACGGTGAAAGAATTGAATTATTTTTTGTTTTGAATTAATTATGATTGATAATTGTTATTGATACTGACAGACAAGTCATCCAGTTTTTATACAGTTGATTTGATCAAGTTCGGATCCATTCGTCCTGATCAAATCCGGATTGGTCGGAGGCGTAACATGTCTGATCAGGACCGGATCCATCAATTTGATCAATATCTGATCAGTGGTCAGGTCTAACCTGATCCAAACTTGATCGAGATCTGACCGGAATTTCCACTCGGGCTGTTCTCGTATATTTTTATCGCGTGGTATAGCGAAGAATGACTTATTTGGTCGTTGGGGACAATTTGGAATCGAGCAGCGCCTCGGCATTATGAATGGAAATCCTCTATCACTTCCTTCTCACAAGTTTCAACCCTCCCTTATATAGGGGTATCCTATTTCCAGAAAGGTCTATTTTAGAACTCTCATGTTCAGATGTGTCTTCCCAGAATAAAAGAATGTTCTATATCTATAAACATGTAGAATTTAATGGATTAATTCATACTAAATGTTTTGTTTTGAGTAAATTGTATTATCAATTGCAATTATTCCTACCTCAATCAACTTCATTCCCATCAATTTCTGGAGATGTGAACTTATTGAGATTCAATCCTCAACTGATCTCCAGTCGCTTCTGTCCACCCTTATATAGGGGTATTTCATTTCTAGAAAGTGCTATTCTAGAACTTTCGTATTCGGTTGTATCTTCCCAGGATGAAAGAATGTTCTAGAATATCTGTAAACATGTAGAAGTCAATGAATTAATTTACACTCGGTCATTTACAATAGATGAATTGTATTATTAATTGCAATTATTCTTACCTTAATCAACTCTGTTCCCCTCAACTTCTGGAGATGTGAACCCATTGAGATTCAATCCTCAACTGACCTCCCGTCACTCCAATCCTCCTTTATATAGGGGTATTTTATTTCCAGAAAGGCCTATTCTGGAACTTTCGTATTCCGATGTGTCTGAACAGGATGAAAGAATGTTCTAGAATATCTGTAAACATGTAAAAGTTAATGGATTAGTTCACACTCGACCATTTGCGTTAGGTGAATTGTATTATTAATTGCACTAGACCGAGCGCGCGCTTTCACGCGCGCTGATGTACATATTACCTCATTTACTTGTTAGAAGCTTCCTTTCTTTCATTAAAATTCCAAATCTATTAAATTTTATAAATAAAAAAAAACTCCTTGAACTTCCTCCAAATTTCTAGAAATTCCTTGAATTTCTTCGAAATTTTTAGAAAGTTTTTGAATTTACTTGAATTGTGTAGATACTACTTGAATTTCCTCGAAACTTCTAGAAATTCCTGGAATTTTCTTGAACTTTCTGGACATTTTAGAATCAGCTCGAAATTTCTAGAAAGTCACTGAATTCTCTCGAATTTCCTAGAAATTCCTTGAATTCCCTAGGAATTTTCAGAAACTTCCTGAATTCCACCAAGATTTGTAGAAAACCCTTGAATTCTCTCGAGTTTTCTAAAGTCTCTTTGAATTTTGTCGAATTTTCGAGAAATTCTTTGTATTTTTCCGTAATTGGCTGATACTAGATTAATTAGTAGTTAAATGAAATCATTGAAAACTACACATTACTTACCTGAAGAAGAAAATTCACTGAAATATTCCAACTATTCACTTCTTGCGGTATTCACGATTTCACTGCCGATTTAAGACTGCCGCTGAATCGCATCGGTCCCCTTTATATAGGGATTTTTGAATCTAGAAATTTCTACACTGGAAATTTCTAGAGGATTTAATCGATAACTTATCCTAATATTCAGTTGGTAAATTATTATCAATCGGATTTTAGTTCATAAGTTATCCAATAGATGACGTTGAACATAGTGTACTTTCTCCGAAATCCCCCCTCATATCGAGCCCATAGACGTGTACACGTCAAAATCTAAAAAAAATGAAAATTTACTTGTGGAGAAAGATTGATACAATAATTAAAAAATTGCAATTTTTGAAAATTTCGAGCACAAAAATCATTTGTTCGGAGTCGTAACAAATTTCTTTATGTTCAGAATTTTACCAGAAATCGATTTCATGCTTAAAAATGAGGTTTCGGAAAGTTAAAATAATTTCAATTATTTATTTATAAGCAACCAATGTTTAAAAAAAAAATTCTGTACAAAATGTAATTTTAATGATGTTGAATATTACTGATTTATTTCAAATTTTTCTCACGCAATTTCATTGACAAATTTGATCTTTGAAAATGATTGAATCTATACTGAGCTCTGTACTAAATTGTAAAAGATACTTGGATATCCTTAGACCGATTAACAGTGAAAATGCCATTGAACTCCCTGCAGTGGTTTTTCCATGAATTGCGAACATAAAAATAACAAAGGATTTATCTCACATGTAAGAAGCAGAAGAGTAGTAATGAAATGATGATCATTCGGCGTATTGATAAAATTAAAAATTCAATATAGTGGATCAGACCCAACGATTACTGATATAATGAAAAGGTGTATCGAGTTCAATGTATCTTACAGGTTGACAATGATTTTTTAATGGTAGTTCATATTTTACGTCACCCATTTCCGAATATCCCGAATGACATGCAAGTTTATCGATCTCATACACAGTACCAGACCCCATAAACATGATGAAAGATAATACAAACATACACAAAATCCTGTCATATAATAACCGAGTAATCCTCGAGTTCCGCAATATTACATTGCATTGACCCGGAACCACATTTAAAAACAAACTTTTTATGGGGAAGTCAAGAGGAAGTGGAACTTACCTTTCTTCCTGCATCAAGCTCAAAAGATCAAAACACAGGTTGTTTTTCAATGACCTGCAGAGAAATGATCGCAGTAGCATGTTCCTTATGTATAAAAACGGCCTACCACGCGTCATCGGAGATCAGTTAGTGTCGAGTTTTCAATTCGCTTGTATCCAAAGGGGAATACTAAAGCGGATACAATGAAGATTATTGAAGGAGGCATTTTGTTATTCGCTGTAATAACAGCAGCATCGGCAACATTCGGAACAATTAACGTTGAGTGTCCACCTGCGGTAGCTCGTGGAATCGGAGTCAAGGCGACGAGTATAGGGATAAAGCCTCAATACTTTGTATCAAGCTCAGTCATCAATGCAGAAAGCCAGAGATCCGGTTCAGTCGCTGGCACACGAAAGTCAGGGCTCGGTCTAGGCCCAGATGGTGTTATCGCACCAATGTAAAAATGATCTGTTCTTCTTTTCGTATATCTTGACTCAAAACTCGTAATGATAAATTGAATAAAACGTCTTTCTTCCTATAGATTCCCACCGATTGGCGATCTTTGTTTCCCCCTCGCTAATAGCCAGACGGACAATAAGCGGCCTGTTGTTTATCCCGCGAGGGCAGTTATTCCTATTCAACCGGGACAAGTACTTTCATTCGATGGTAATCCAAGTGATGTCAGCATTTGTCGCGCTAAAAACTACGGAGGCTACCCCATCTATCCAGCAGGTTACTCCCCACTACCAGGAGGCTACTCTCCCAACTACGCAGGAGGCTACCCTCCCAACTACGTAGGAGGCTACCCTCCCAAGTACGCAGGAGGCTACCTTCCCAACTACGCAGGAGGTTACCCTCCCAACTACGCAGGAGGCAGCAGTCCCGATAAATACGGAGAAGGCAGTGGTCCTAATAACTACTTGGGAGGCAGTGGTCTCGATAACCACGGAGTAGGCTACCCCTCCAGTAACTACGGAGGAGGCTACTGCCCCAACTGCAAGGGAGGCAGCGGGCCCAATAACTACGCAGGAGGCTACTGCCCCATCTGCAAAGGAGGCAACGGACCCAATAACTACGGAGGAGGCAAGTGCCCCATCTGCAAAGGAAGTGGCGGCCCCAATACCTCCGGAGGAGGCTACTGCCCCATCTGCAATGGAGGCAGCGGCCCCAATCCCTACGGAGGAGTCTACTACCCCAACTATGAAGGAGGCAGCGGTCCCAATAACTACCCAGACAATGGTGCAGATTCTGGCTGTCCAACATGTTCTGGCTCATCAAGCCCTGCGCACAGATACCCATCGTCGATTTATGGCTCCCCCCAAGACATACTAATCGGTTTCCAAAAACCAGGTGCCACTGGACAATCCCCTGCAGGACAATTCAGACCCGCCATTGGTTTCAACAGCGGGCCACGTGGTAAATTTATGGTGTTTTCACGGGCACTCAATCCTACCCAAGGTAGTGGTGATGCTAGAGGAACTGGCGGACAGGTTCCAATTAGTGAGCTGGACGCCGGAGCCGCTGGTGATTATTAATTCATATTACAGCTTTTGAGGATTTTATCGATCGTGATATATATGGACCATTCCGCCAACTATCGTACGAGACCTGCCTCAAAATTGTCAATAATTTTTTTTTGGTTCTTCTCAATAGTTATATATCGAAAAGTAGATTAATCGGCTAGGAGTGATCCCGCGGCTTAGTTAGAGGCGTTCCGCGTGATTGAACATTTTAGACGCGAAATTCTGTGCTCTTTAACGCCTTGAAAAATGTTTAGAAAAAAATTTAAAACATAGTTTTTGATAGGAAATTTTCTGATTTTTTCAAAGATGGTGGTCATTTTGTTCCACCACTTCAACTTCATGGTAAAAATCGAAAAATAAAACTTCAAACGTTAATTCCAGCCTGTTTCCCACTTTCTGATCTAATATTTTTCTAGATCTGATATTTTTTTCGGAAAATTCAGAAAATTTCCGATCGAAATCATCTTTGAAAAATGTGCCTTCATACGTTGCAGAGCCGAAAGAGAAATGAAAAACAAAAAATGAATATTTTGAAAATTGATTTCACGGTCTTTGCATATTATGATGTTAATAAGGAATAAGGAAGTACGTTTCGTTGATAAAAATAGCTATGTAATGAACATTGTAGTTACCAGATCAAACTATGTAAAATCGATTTTCATAGTATTAACTTTTCGTTTTTCATTTTCTTTTGGGCTGTACAGCAACGAGCGTATATTTTTCAACGATTTCGATCTGAAATTTTCGGAATTTTTCGAAAAAAATATCAGATGTAGGAGAAGTGGGGAACAGGGTAAAATCCACGTTTCAAGTTGTATTTTTCAATTTTCACCATGAGGTTGAAGTGAGGGAACGAAATAATCACTATTTCTGAAAAATTCAGAAAATTTCCGATGAAAACCTCTGTTTTGAATTTGTTAGCGCCTTTAATCAAGCCGCGCGATCTCTGCTAGCCGAGAAATCCTCTTTTCTATATATAAGTATTGAGAAGAACCAAAAAAAAAAATAATCGAAAATTTTGAGGCCAGATCTCGTACGATATTTGAAGGAATAGGCCACTTACATTAGATGAATTTTTATTCGGCTTTGCGGTCATTCGTAATTCCTCGGATGAATTTTTCTTCGGTGCAGTTATGTGAATCTCATCAAATTTTAACTTTAGCACTGAGAGAGGGACGCAATTCCCTATCCATTCACTCCCAGGGCTTCAGGAGATGAGATTCACAGGTCGACAATGTTTAGTTCCAATTTTAACTTACATATGACTACTCACAATGATGTGAACATAGCGATTTAACGCGAAGTGTAAACTTCGCGATTTCTCGCAAAGATCGCCAGCATTTGGAAATGCCCCATAGGATTATTGTTTCCACCATCCCCCTCCTTAAGACAAGTCTAAATTTCAATTTTAACTTATACACGACTACCCGCAATGATGTTAAAATCGCGATTTAACGCGCACTGTGAACTTCGCGATTTCTCGCAAAGATAACCGGCATTTGGTAAATTAAAAAAATGATGAGGTTCATCGGTTCATGTACCTCGCGAACATCTGAGGAATTACGAATGACCGCAAAACCAAATAAAAATACATCTAATGTATTAATTTAGATTATTACATCTATCAATTCTCCTCAAAATGTTGATAAACTTGTATTGTATTTCTAGCCCCTTATTTATCCTTCGATGATCAAGAGAAACTTTATAACGGTGTCGTAAAGACAACCCCAAACGCCCGAGCTGATCCAGTGTCCATTGCCCTTGCTTACAAAAACCTCCTTGGACCCCTCCAAAATCTGTACCACAGTGGAGGTAAAAAAAAGGGTGCAGCTGAATCATCGCTATATTTCGGACCCAAAACAATTCCCGCCGATGGACGCAAGGAAATTGTCGAAAAAGATTTTCCGGAGGAGAAACTGCATACCGTTGATAAAACCATTGTTCAACTGAGGCCCGAGGGCTCCACTTCTGCTCAACATGGTCCATGGTCTTCTGAGTGTGACGATGAAGATGTTGACCAAGGTGAACCCTTGTCGAAGGGGCGAGTCAGCACACTAACGTTGCCCGACCAGGGCAGCAGCGGAGCTAGTATCACTTATAGGTAAGCGATTCTATCAATTAACATTTCAGTGGGTGGACGTACGTCTGGTGTGTGAAAGGTTGTGGTTCGATCCCCAGTGGAACCGAATTTTTCAACAGAAGGCTCCGGCGAGCGCGAGGTTGCTAATAGAGTTACCACCTCTACCGACATGGGTTTCCTGTGGTTTCCTATACTACTCCTATGTTCTTTTTTCTCATTCCGGCCGTACGCGTCCGTGAATCACTGCTTACAGCCGTTATGACAGAATATACTAATAGGAGTGCGAATGCCGTACAGCGTAGAATCCACAGCCGTATGCATAGGGTTGGATAGAGTGCCGAATGGGACCCGAAAGGGGACTCAAAGACAGTACAAAAAATAGCATTTCACGTAGGAGAATGAATTCGTTAGAGGGAACTTGCACGGCTTTTTTTCAATTTTCTAATCTCAAGTTTGGGACCTGAATAATTCATTTTTCATTCATAAACATTCGAAATATTGGTCATTAATTAATAATTAATTGTTAAAAGTTGGGGGTTTCAAACGCTTTAAAATTGCTGATGATGTCACATAAACGGTCGAGTGCTGGACCAATCACAGAATGGCTCGGGCCGACCTAATCAAATCTTGAGGTGCGCCTCGACCAACGGAGGACGATAATTCCCCACTCTCTTCCTTTTCGACCAATGAAGTGTTACCTGACCGTCTTCGTGACGTCATGACCGAAAAATTGGCCTCGAAAACGACTGATTTTTAATTAATTATCATAAGACATCTAGGCAATATTTCTCTATAATTTTCGCCGTTTAGATATCCGTATGTTATGAGGAATGTGTAAATAGGGGAATGAGAAAGAATTGAGCTTCATGCAAGTTCCCTATTCGTTAATTTCAAGTCAGAGCATTTAAGTATTACGTCATTGAAGGAAGGGGCGAGGGGTCTGTAGTCCACGCGCTGACAGGAAAAATTATGAAATTTATGTAAACAGTTGAAACTTGCATATTTTATGTTTTTCGGTGTACTACAACGGAATTTGTTACTTAGCCCGCAATACAGTTATGCCGTCAATAGTTATTAACAATTTAATTACAAAAGTCGCGGGCTATTGGAATGAGAATTCTCGTACAATGAAGATCGATTATATATGTCTAAAAATGAATAATTAGTGCAAAAGAATTAATTGTTTATTGTTCGTTTACTCCGTAGACGCTTAAAATGTTACAAAGGTTTTTTATTTTTTTCAATTTTTTTGAAAAAATCTGCGCAATAACAATTACGAGTTAGTTTTTTGGAATTCGTTTACAACACAGCTAATTTCGTTTTTTTTAAATAAAAAATTGCACCATTCATGTAAAATACCCAGAAAAATGATCCTCGAAATATTTAAAATATATTCTCGATTCTTTTAGGAACTTTTTTCCGCAAAGCATGAGAAATCTCACTCCAGTCGCCAGCGACTTTTAGAACTCATAGTAGTCCACCTTTGAATGCGTTTTACGCCGCCATTTCGATAGATATCAAAAAATCTTCCAAGCAAACAATATACCTACAAATCTAACAAACAGAATGAATTTTGATTTTTGAAAATCGTTTGCAACAATTCGGCGAGTTTCCAACAATTCGGCGGTGAGGTCACCTCTGACGCGCGGAGTGGTGTATGCACCCATAGGGCCTTCTGAGCCCAATGAATGAATAGAATATTCTTGAAGAAGAAAAACCTTGAAACAAAAAAGTTGCGTCCGAGGGGCTGATCACTCCCTAAACAGGTGGTTCAATGATTTCCAGAATGGGATGATTCCCTGTGATTTCTTGAATGATTTCTGTGATTTCTCAATAAGAATTAGAAATCATGATTTCTATTGATTTTTCTTGATTTCCATAATTTCTAGCAGATTATGATTTCTTGATTTTAAGAAATTACTCGAAAAATCATGATTTCGGGATCAAAGTGGGGCATTTGTCGATAATCGCATATGTGTAAGATTCGAGGAACCAAAGAATTTAAAAGGGCCTTATGGATGGAATAGTAAGAACCAAATGACATGTCATAAGAATATGAGGGGCAGACGGGATCGTATGAGTGAACTCCAATAAAAAATTTGGGTTTCACTTTCATCGGTGATTTCTAATTATTTATGAAATCAACTGATTTCTTTATGATTTCTACTGATTTCCAGAATCATTAGAAATCACTACCGGAAATGGAAATCACTTGATTTCCAATGAATTCTGGTGATTTCTTCCTTGATTTCCAATCGAGTGGTCCAGTGATTTTCGAAGTACCCAGCCCCTCCATTGCGTCGAAAGATACTAAATATATTTATGTCATTAGGTCCGATAAACTGCGATTCTAACCTCGCTTTGCTGGTTAGATCGCGGAGTTCCGGCCCAACCACATAAAATATCATATGTCACACGGCGATAAAAGCATTATCTGGCAAATGTGATTATAATCACATTCCTCGCCTTCGGCTCGGATTATAAAGCCACATTCGCCAGATGGGGGAGGGTGTGCCTGTACCGCTCACCCGATTTTCTCCACAACCATCAACTTGAAAATTTCTTTCTGTTCCTGATCATGAAGAATTTGATAATAGGATGTGATTTTCGGAAAAATTTCAATTTATTTACCACTTTAAATATGAAAAAACACGTAACGAAGTTTTGAGTTCTTTACAGTGCAAAATTTGGGGACTTGTAATTAAGGTTTTTGATAGTTTCAAATGCTGAATTCTCATATTAAACTGTGGTTATTTGATTCGCGGTACTTTCACGCGTAATTTGAGACTAACTCGAACTCAAAACTCCAGTCATGTCAATAATGATCAACAATTTTGTTGGCGCCGAGCGGAGCCGGTAATACCGCTCATAGGATCGGCTACGTAGTTGCTCGACAACAGTCGAGTACAGGTTAGGTTGCGGCGTGAGCGATACACGCAAAACCCTATGAGCGGCATTGGAATCGTGCCGAGCGGTATTACCCGACGGCGGGTAGTACCGCTCAATAGGCTCTCTCTTTTATTTTCAATCAATTTTGTGGATTCTAAGGAGAATTAGGCGTCTACACTTCGAGAATAACGAGTTCAATGCTTAAAGAAGTCTCACAAATACGTTTTTTATACTCAAGTTGAAATATAAAATATAAAACTGGCATTTCCCCTTAGGTAGGCGGTACAGGCACACCCTCCCCTAATACTTTTATCGCCCGATGATATAATCTACTAATTCTTTATTCTTTTAAGACTCATAATCTTTCGTCAAGATTTGGCATTTTCAATATGCCCTATACTATGGTTGCATGCGCCACTCCACGCGTCAGAAGTGATATGACCGCTCCATCATTGCAAACTGCTATAACTTTCGCAAAAATTGACCAATTTCCAACAATCAAAATTCATTTTATTTGTTGATTTCCAAAAAATATCGTTTATTTGAAACATTTTTTTTATATCTATCAAAATGCCGGCGTAAAACGCACTTAATTAATTAAATTGTTAATAACTATTAAAAGCATAACTGTAGTACGAGCTAAGTTATAAATTCGGTTTCAACACATTAAAAAACATCAAATATGTAACTTTCAATTGTTTACATGAATTTCATATCTTTTGCTGTCCGGGTATCGACTACTGCAGTTTGTGAGGCTTTGCAACAAAGGGGTTTCCCTTAGATTGTTCTGCCCCACTATATTTTTTCCGTTTCCCAATCGAAGAAATCGCAACTGCAATTTGTTTCTCATTTCCTTTCTCCACGGAAAAAATATCTGCAGAGGCACGAAAAGAAAAGTTGGATCAAAATTACCTAGAAAATCGTGGTAAAGTTTACCGGACGAAAGGTAATTGTGGACTGAAATGTAATTCAATGAAAAAATACCTGTTTGTGGGGGATATTTTACGATTGGTTCGGTAAAAAAAATATCTATAAGTGACCGACGGCCGTGGCTGTGTGGTTAAAGTATGGGATTGGCACGTGAGCGACCCGGGTTCGATATCCGGCTGGGCTAATCTCACAGCTTCACTGTCGAGCGGGAGTCTCGTTAAAAAGACGACTGTACCTGGGCAGGTTTTTCCCTCAAGTGAGGTCCTGCGGCAAATGCGGTACAGGGGGTTGGGGAGTGGGAAGGGGGGAGCAAATCGTAAAAACCCGAAAGGGTCTACGAAAGAAAATAAATTTTTTATCTATAAGTGCAAAAATTAGCCTCCTGTATAGGAAAATTTCCCACACCGGTGGCGAACGAATGGAAGTGTAATTTTACCGAATGCGTTCGCTAAAAAATCATTCTCTGTTACAGAGAAATGATCATGCACGAAAAAATTTAATAGAATAAAATAGCGAATTCGTTAGATAATTTTATTAGATTTCTATTGAATTTCTATCGATTTTTGGCTGATTCTATTGAAGAACGCCACTGTTTTACTGCGCGATTTTTAATAGAAAAGGTTCAATAGAAGCACTTTAATAAAATCACTAGACTTCCGCTTTTCTATACAACTTTTTCTATTGAGACATTTCCTATGGGAATACCTCGATTTGAATTTTCTAATTTTTTTTCATTGCATTTTTCTTCATTTTAGATTGAAAAAAAAATCCAACAAAAAAACTTAAGTCGAGGATTTTTATAGACAATACCTCAATCGAATGAATTGTATGGAAAAATCGAATTCCATTGATTTTTATTCTATAGAATATTTTCTTCTGGACATTTCTATTGAAACCAACAAGCAGATGAGCTGCAGACTTTTTCAATAAAATCAGCCAAAAACTAATGGGAGCGAAGTCGTCAGGTTTTCTGACGAATCCCCCCCCCCCCGTTTTTTCTGTCGATGTTTTTTGTTTCTATAATACTAAATTAAAAAGATAAGAATACGAAGAAAAGAGAAATGATTAGGTAAACAATTGAATTTATGCGATGCGCTTTGAATATTTCGTAAGTCATCAATTTGTTGCCATTACAGCATTTTGAAATCCCTCTTTGTGACTCGTTGGAATAGTCTAAAAAACTGCTGAAACATCTGTTTTTTGACGTGAATGTGGTTATGGTATTATTATAGGCCGTCATTTTAGAAAAAGTCCCTCTTTTGCTAGCGCCATTTCGAGATTCTGGAGAATTATAGATTTTCCTATGAAATTCAAGAAAATTCTTGAGGCTTTAGCAAAATAAACTTGTATCCTCTTGAAAATTCGAGTAAAGAGCAGGGTCTTATATATTGCAATCATCAACGTACACAGTAAAAGATCCAGAGTGAATTTCCACCCTGAGTGCACACCAAACGGAGTGAAAGTAAGTCCATATAGAATATACGGAGTTAATTCATTTCGGAGTGAAATACAGCGAGTGGAGTGAAAATTGACACTGCCATGGTGTCAAAATGAACATATTGATCAACACAGTTCGGTGTGAAAAATAAAAATTGACTCCGTACCAAAAGTTGACTCCGGGCGAGAGAGTCAATTTCAACACGGAATATCCCTCACGGAATCCCTACACCAGAGACAGTAACAACGATTTTTTTTACTTCAACTTTGGAGCGAATTTTACAAATTTAGTAAGTTTTAAAAAGATACAAGGTTGAGTTTTCCATACAAGAAAAAATTCGGGGCTTCGCGAAAAAATTTGAGAGAATACGGTGATTTTCTAAGAAATAATGGTTATAGAAGGATCCACGTAAAATCACAGTTGTATCAAAGATACAGCCACATGGAGGAAAGGATTCAGAAAAATTATCGAACAAGTCCAGTAATCGTGGAGTGAAATCGATTTTCAGCACTTTTTCACTCTATATCGGGGAAAAATTGCCAGACGAATAGTGAATTTTTTTCCGTTGGCTCAGGAAAATTTACTGAACGTAAGGGTAATTTCTGCCAAAACTGTAAAATTTACCGCCCTGCAGTTGATGAAAGATGACCCCCACGAATGTGAGTGATTGCTCAATATTTCGTATCACGGATGAAAAAATTCAATAGACAAACCTCGCAAATTGGTTAGACAATTCTATTGGATTTCTATTGGCCTTTCTATTAGCTTTTGGCCGATTCTATTGAAACGATCAATAGAGAATATTCTATAGAAAAAGTCAAAAGAATTCTATTTTTCTATACAACTTATTGAAATATTTTCTACAGAATTTCCTCAACTGAAATTATTCAAGTTTGTTTGATTTTCTTGACAAGAAGAAAAGAAAAATGGAATGAAAAAAATTTGAGCTAAGGAAGTTGTGTAGAAAATATCTGAAGAGAATAATTCATATAGAAAAATCTAATTCTATAGACTTTTTCAATTGAATATTTTCTATTGAACATTTCAATAGAATCGGCCAAAACTAAAAGAAAGTTCAATAGAAATCCAATAGAATTTTCGTATTTAATACTACAAGAGCTTCACGGAAAGAATATAAAATCAAAAATTACAATGTGAACATAGCAATACAGGACCATACCGAAATAACTTTAAAATTTGATTTATCTTAACCGAATTTTTATTCCGGTCAAATTAAATTTTACTTTAATTCTTCCACTTTCTACTATACCAACTCGCAATTTTTACTATGTTCAACAGTAAATTTTGAGTGTGGCGAGTGGATATGGTCCACGATTACTATGCTCCCATAATAAAAAATAATTTTATATTTTTTCCGTGTTAAAAATTATTAATTATAACCCGATAGGTTCTTTGCAAACAAACGGAGTCAAGTTTTTCAGGTTAAAAAATGACGAGTGCGAGGATGAGAGATTTTTACTGAACAACTTGACAAGTTCGTTTGTATGCAGGGAACTTTGAGGGAAATATCTGATTAATTTTGAAGCTCGAGTGTTATTCGGAGGAGAATTTTTCCATCCACATTTCGGCCAAGAGAATTGCACTATGAGATAAAATCCATCTGACAATTCCAACGAGGGGCTCACTCGACCAGGAAATGTTTTGTTTTTCATATATACATGAACATAAATCTTAGCCCGGTGGCTTGGAGCATGGGTAAGTTCGTTGCTTCACATGCGAAAGGTTCCGAATTCAAATCCCGGCCGGGTAGAATGGGGCGATCTAATCATTTAAAGTCTTGATCATCATCGCAGTATACCCTAACCGGGTCGAAGCGATGTAAAATAACGATAAAAAAAAAACATAAATCTTACCAATGGGATTATCAAAAATTGTCAGTTGAATACCGTGTTGACTATAAAATAACAGTCGGATAGTGCAATTCTTTCGGCTGAAATTTGGGTGGAAAATAGTAGATTATCGCCGTGTGGCATACAATAGTTTTCATCACGCTGTGTGAAAAAGTAACTTTTTAGGCACGCTTTGCGTGTCTAAAACGTCCCTTTTCCACACATTGTGATGAAAAATATTGTTCGATACTCGTGGGAAAAGTGTTTTTATGTCACGCCGTGCTATAAGTCGAGTTTATCGCACGCTACTTTTCGCGCAGCCTGCTCAAAACTCGACTTCTGCACGACTTGACATAAAATATTATAGAGCACTCGGTAATAAAACCTCGCCTTCGGCTCGGCCTGTAAACTACACATTCATTGAAAACGAAATTTGTGCCCTTGTACTCTAATGTACTATTTGGCTCGTGGGAGGTTTATAGCACGAGCCGAAGGCGAGACACTTTTCCGCACTTGTAACGAAATATACTATTATGTCATTGGGCCTGAAAACCGCGATCTAATCGAGCGAAGCGAGGTTAGAATCGCGGTTTATCGGGCCTAATGACATAAAATTCTCTATCAAATTCGTCAAGTTTTTCTATGAAATTTTTTCTACACAGTACGCAAGGGGAGGGGCCCATTTTTGTGACGGAGGAGGGATCAGGTATCTAAGAAGTATAAAAAACGCGTGATATAATATATAATATTCAAATGACTCAGTTAAAATTCTGATTTTAATATCCCAACTTTCTTTGTTACAGTGACTTGGGATATGTACCAGTAGGCACTACAAGTGACAATGCTGAAAGTCAGCAACCTACGTTCAACGGACCTACGCTCGATGAGCGTGATATTAATTTGTGCCAAATCAGCGCCCCCCCTCACCCCCATTTCGTACATGGAGGTGTCACCTTCGAAACACCCAATAATTATAACGTTGTGCAAGGGGGTTGTTCTGAATGTCGAGGCTGTAGGGATCGGTACGATGATAATTCATCCGATGCCGGAGACGACGAAGGTGAAGAAGGTTCCGGTGAAGATGATGAAGGATTAGCTGATATTTGCCAAGATATTGATACTCTCAGCAAACACAGGGTCAAATTCGGAAAATTCACAGGTGGAAGATTGAGCCGATTGTGGCATTCAGCGCGTGATCCTTCGAGATTGATCGTGTAGAGAAAAAAACCGAAGAAAAATGAATAGCATTATTTTGAATCAGAAGGCTGATGGGGGGATTTTGAGGCGATTATGAATGTCGCTTGAACTAGTCGATTTCCTTCAAATTAATATAGAAATGTTGTCGATAGTTGTGAGAACATGAGCAATTGATGAATTGTTAGAGACCAATAAATAATTGTTTGAAATTATTCATCCGTATGTAGCAATCTCTCATTTCCCATTTATGATGAATAGGATAATTAAGGTGTATGGAGCATTCCACGCTATTTCAACGGAGGCAAAAAAAATTTTTTTTTAAATTTTATATATCACAAAAGGAGGACCCAAGATAGTATTAACAACCCAATTTTTTTTATTAAAGTTATAACAATTGTAAAATTCTAGTGAATAACGAATGGACATGCTTTTGAATATGTATATCTAAAAAATTATGCATTTAATCAAAAAAAACAGAAGGACTTTATTGTTGAGAAAGTATGGTTACTTATGTAAAAAAAAAATTGATTGAAAAAAGCAAATATTATTGGTATTTTTTAAATAAACATATAAAAAAAACGCTTGTAGTTTCGTGAGTTCCATTCTGAAAAATATGAAAAAAATGTATCTTGTGGGAAATATTATTAAGATGGCTGTATCAAATTTTTGTTTAATGATATCAACTGGCACGTAAAATATTAATTTTCTAATGAAGTCGTGTGGCGTCTCCACCGCTCAGTGCACCGCCCAATTTGAGCGCTCCATCCCGGCTGGGGTTTTGGGCGCATGTAACTCACTCAATACCTCTTACATGGAAAAGGATAAGTTTTATACTTCGTAGAAGAAAAGTCAAAAATTGTAATAAAATGGGTCTTTTTCCAAGACAGGCCTGGCGAACAATGTTTCAAAGGAATGAGTCGTAAATTACTGTCAAATGTAATATCTAAAAGTTTCCAAGGAAATGCCTACCACGATGATTCACATTATAAGTGGAAGGAGGAATTATCGGAGTTCAGTACAAGTAATTGTAATCAATTAAATCACTCTTCATTGATTTCTCGACGATGGTTATCATTTTTTCCTGATCATATTCCAAAACTGTTTACAATGTCCTCTTGCATGCATTATCCGATTTTTGAAATCATTTTTTTCCTTTTTTTAATAATAAAAATCCATTTTTTCCAAAAAACAAGAGTTGTCATGATTATTCATTTTTTATAACGACAAAAAAACATACTTTACCATGAATTCAGTATTGGGTGAGCTACGGTTGTTCAAAGTTTCAGCGGATTGAGAGCGCTTGAATTGGGTAGCCCACTGAACAGCGGGAACAGCGCGCAACTTCATAAAAAAATTAATATTTCAATCATCGTTGAAAGTCATTGAATAAAATTTTGACACAGTTTTCTCAGCAATATTTCCCATATTAGGGGGGGGGGGCAAAACGGACCAACGGGGCAAAACGAACCGGGGGGCAAAACGGACCCCTGGGGGCAAAATGGACCCCTAAAAAAAAGTTTTTTTTTTCTTTGATGCTTGGGAACAGTGGTGATACCACATTCATCAACGTTATAAATGTCCTTATTAGTTAAATTATCCTTAGCTATAATTGGTTCTATCAAACTCATAAATCTTGCCACAGCCTCTCTATTGAATCCTTTAGCTCTGGCTTGGGAAGTAGGTTGAGGCTTGCGTAGAGATAAGACAGAGTTTCGCTTCATAAACCCTCGACGCCAATCTGCGCCAGCTCTACCATGTGTGAATTGGTGGGGGATGTTATTCTTCTCTGCCAAATCATGTGCGAGTATGCATAAGTCTTTGGATGTTAATCCATGGAGTCTACTCTCCATCTCCAACACATAATGACAGATTTCAACTTCTTGTGTTTTTGAAAAAGTTGGCTTCAAACTTCCTAATCCTAGATATCAAACAAATTAAAAAATTGAAATCAATCCTGCTAGTTATGGAAAAAAAATATGAATGAAGCAGAGAAGTGGACAAGTTGATGTTGCCCATAACTCTTGATATTTGATCATGTTGATAATGAGAAATTTTAGGATAAAATGTCAAAAATTATTTTTTCTGAGTAATTCTCTCAGCTACGAAAACGGTCTTCTCACTTTTTCTCCTAAAATTACTCATTTCTGAGGGAAATGCAAAAACCTAACCCAACATCAGTTTGCTACTGAATCAAATAAATCATTTCTTATCTCAAAAAAATTGGAGAATGATTGTTGAGTGAAATATGGAAAAATGTTGAATGTTACCTTTCTCAACTGCCAATTGAAGATCAGGATTCTTTCTGTAACATTCAACTCGACGTTTGAAGGTTGTGGGGGGTAATCCATATCTTTCTGCAATTTGTTTATACCCTGGTGGGTTTAATGACTCTGATGAACCTTCCACATAATCAATTATGCCTTTGGCCATTGAAACTGCATCCCAGTCCTGTCTATCTGTCGTTCGTTTATAATTTCTGACCATTTTTATTCAATTGAATTAGTCATAGTGCACGTATTCTTTGTTAGTTCTCTGTTGATTATTAATAATGGCTAATGGAGATGAATATGAAGATGAATATGGAGATGAATATTCGAATTCGAAAAATCAGGAGTGCTGCCACCTAGCTGTTCTGAAAGAAATTACCACCCAGGCACATGTACTTTTTTTGTGAGGAGTGCAAAGAATCAGACTAAAACTTTGTTATTTATTACTAACCTCATATTTTATATTTGTTATTATTCATTATTGTTATTAATCATCACTGTTATTATTTATTATTTTTATTAATCATCACTGTTATTATTTATTATTGTTATTCATCATCATTGTTCTTATTCATCATCATTCCATCCAATTTCACCAAGACTTTTGATTAGAACGTGGACATTTTTGACACTGCTGCTACGTTCACCTCGTGTCGAAAAGTGCATTTTCGTTTACTCGTAAACGAAAAGTCTTTTCGTTTACTAGTAAACGAAAAAAGGCACAGTTCGCCACTCGCTGAACGTAACATCACTGTCAAAAACTATTGTTCGACACATGTGAGACAGGAATTTTCAGCTCGTGTGATTGGCAGCCCTCGGCTTCGCCTCGGGCCGCCAACTTCACACTCGTGAAAATTCTGTCTCACTCGTATCGAAATATACTATTTCGTATTCATTGGAATGAAGTTATCTTACCATGATGTTGTTCTCAATTTTCACCACCACCTCCTCCTCCATCACTCTCACCCCTCCTATTCAGTGATGAATTTTGGAAAATTTTATTCATGAGAAAAAAAAACTTTTTTTTAGGGGTCCATTTTGCCCCCCGGTCCGTTTTGCCCCCTTGGTCCGTTTTGCCCCCCTACCCCCTATATACTTTTTTCAAATTTTTCAGAGTGGAACTCACATAATTACAACGGTTTGTCTAATTGTTTATGTAAAAAGTTGCTAGGGATATACCCTAAAAATGAAATTTTCAATTCCAACACTTTTTTTGTTGTGATTATACCACCTTTGTTCATTTTAGCTTTCATTGAATAAATTAAGACATAACGCAGCTTCCCAGTATTTTGTTTGCTTACAAAAATATCTCTTGAGAAGAATGTAGTACTGTAGTCGTGTAAATCAGAGAAGGAGAAGAATAAATGAGAAGTGAGAAATCATGAGAGGCATCGCTTGTAAACCTCAGGAGACAGTATGGTGCTATCCCAAGGTTTGTGTGGGACACAAACTGCCTCAATAAAATTTATTACTCACCCTCTGCTTCCGACTCTAAAGCGCGCTTGTCATCGGTTCGTAAATTTCCAGCGCGGAGGGAGGAACGCAGAACGATATGTATATGTGTCCGAATGGTCGGAAGGGGAGGACAAGAAGAGAAAGATCCGGCCATATGGTGTTACTCGATGATTGCTTCAACTGCCGAACTACCTATCAATGATGTTTTTTCTTGAGAAAATAATGACTCCGTCGGTTGCCACTTTGAGAGTACTCAAAAAAAAATGATACATCAATATAAAGTCTTATGGAGGAGCTTTGGAAGGCATTCAAATGGGCAGACATAAGAGGTCAATTTTCCAAAAATTTCCTTCCATTTTTTTACATTTTAATTCAAAATTTGAAAAAAGTTGCAGGCATATTTTAACGCATTTGCTTCCACATAAAAACACTGTGATGTTTAGAATGCAAGTCCCCAGTTTTTTATGTCAGGATAAGTAATTTTGGGCTCAGGAATCAGAATATAATGGTTTTAGACTATGTCTGTATTATATATGTGAACGATATTTTTTCACGTTTTTCTCTATGACCAATTGATCACGTTTTATACTTTTCCTTCACGGAATGTAGAACTCAATGAGCCTTTCTATTGTATATCAATTTAATTTCAGTTAGTGGCCTACTTTTCAAAACTTCGAGATTTTTCGAAAGTTAGTTTTGCCACTATTACTCAAAAAAATAATTGTCCAAATCGATTCAATTGAGGCCTCAAATATTTACTCAGAAATGAGGACCACAAAGAATGGTCACAATTAAGAGCCGTAAATCTTTGGTCATCCCGATCTATTTAGGAATATCCATTCGGAAGCAAATTGCTTGTCATTATCCACGGAATTATAAAAAAAGAACAATTGTCCATGCGCTTGTTTACAGATGAGAATTTATTAATTTCACTGGCTTTTTACTATAAGAATTGACTTGAAAACGCCTCCGTTACCCGTTACACGTAAGAAAAATGTGGACAATTGTTTTTTTTAATAACTCCGTGGGTCATATAAATATTTGTGAATAAATTGGCAATTTGTTTCCGAATGGATATTCCTAGGTAGATCAGCATCCTCTCGGACTTATGACAACCCTGGCGGATCGATAGGAGGTCGACTTGTTCACTCTGTTGATGGTCGGTCGATCGACGGTCGATGGTACATTGTTGGTCGATTGTTAGTCGATCGTTGATCGATCGATGGTCAATAGTTGGTTTATCGGTGGTCAATCAATTGAACGGTAATCGACTAGCACTCAACCGAGTGCACAACTCGACCTCCCTATTTATTTTTTGGCAACAATGTTTTTATTTGGTCAACAAAACTATATAGGGGTGGGGAGGGCAAAATGGGGCATGAAAACGTAGAGGCTAATTATGAGTGTTTTTTGGTAAAAATGACTTATATCTGAGGTAAAATATGGCTCCAGCATGAGTTGAAATCACATCAATTCAAAAAAAATAATTGAAGGACAAAATGGGAATGCCCCAATTGAAATACCTCAAAATTACGTTGATTGACTTTGATTATAAATATTATGAAATTAATTAAAAGGTATACTTATATGTTACATATTTTTTCGATACATACTCGAAGTCGTCTCAGGGTGTTTTGACCAAATTCGTGGAATTTCGACAAAAAATTGAAAATAAAATGGGTCCAAACAAGTCAACAAAACCTAACTTGTTTGACAGCTCAAAATACTTGTTTTGATGACAAGAATTAATGAAAAAAATACGAGAAAAATAAAACGTAACATAATTTTGAAAATTCAAATTTTTCACCTTTTTTTTTAATTCGTTATTATGAGCACCTAGGGATTGCAAAAGAAAAATACTCAAAATATTCTTATAGATAGTAGAAAATGGAAAATTTTGATGGGTTATAAATGAAAATCCAATGAATAGAACTGAACTTACTGAAAAATGAAGAAAAAATGATATCTCTGAAATGGATTGTCGAAAAAATCTGAAAAAAATTGAGAGATAGTTTTTAATTAACTCATCTGGTAGTTATTTCATATTTTTCTCGCAAATTCATCATTTCAATTTTTGCGAAAATTTTGAGACGCCCCATTTTGCCCACCCTGCCTCGTTTTGCCCTACCCTCCCCTGCATATATAAATTTATAAAAACTAGTCTAAAAAATGTCGTGTATAATAATGAATTTTGTACCGGAGTGTGGGATTGGCATGCGGGAGATCCGGGTTCGATTCCCGGCTGAAGGGGCCAAAATTGGTGACACTCTAAATCTCACGGTTTCATTGTCTCGCAAGAGACGACTGTGCCTGGGCAGGTTTTTCCCTCAAATGAGGCTTTCCCTTGTCCTTCGGCGAATGCGGCAGAGGGGGTTCGGAAGGGAACAAATCGTAATAATCCGAAAGGGTATACGAAAAAAAAAGTTTTAATAATGAATTTTGTATATAAACTAATGGCCAATTAGCGGCTCTCAAGTTTAGGCAGTACTGTAATAGTTAATTCTATATTTGTGTTACCAAACAATATGTATTAATATTTATTAATTGAACGTATTGTTAGATACGGACATTGTATATTTTTTATTCTTATTAATTGTGCCTAAAAAAATATTGAAATAAGTTGCTATATCTGATTTTAAAAAATGGCAGCATAATATATGCAGAGTGTAGGAGGTAAAGGATGTAAATTTTTCAATTACATGAAGATGATTTTAGTAATCATAACAGGGTGTCGTATTTTTGATTCTTTTGGTATTTTCTAAAAAGAGAAAAAACCATAAGTAGTTTATTTTGGCATAACGTTAGTTATGTATGTATATATAAAAAGAAGTATATTTTAATTCGTTATTGAATTAATAGAGACTATGGTAAGTTAAAGACGTTTGAAATTATGTCCGTTTCGGATATTTCTGGCTCCGTTTCTATTGTTATTATTGTTGTTGTTATTGTTCTTACAGAGTTGTTTTCGAACTTTAAGTTACCTCATGTATTTGTCATCAGCGGTCAGCCACCAAAATTCTTTGTTAATTTTAGAGAAATCATTTTTGTCGATTTCCGAAATTTCTCTAGAATATTTAAATGTTGAATTCTCAAAATTATCAATGGAGATAATTTTGTTATTTTTATGTCTTTTGACATGGAAGAATATTGGTCTATTCCATTCATCTGGGAAGAGCCCAATTTTATCGTATTGAACAAAGAATTGCGGTTTAATATCTCCGCATTTGGTCCTACCAATGACCTCATTTTCGGGAATTCAGCCAGAGAGTTAATTGCGTCGTTCTTTATTAGTTTAAGTTTATTATAATAATTACGCGCGCGGCGAAGAATAAAATTGTCTATTCGAGGGATTTCCGCCTTGCCATACAACATTTTGTTACTGACTTGGTGAAAATAGTTGCTGTGAGCCGATCTGTACATAAACCGGCAGGCTCTCAAGCATTTCCTCTCGAGAACTCCAATGCATTCCATCTGATGGGCGCCCATATTCCACAAGATTTCACATGCGTAGGTGAGCAAAGGTCTGATCAATAGCAAAATAACAAATAACAAAAAGCCGAGTGACTTGCTTGGTTCTCTAGCTTTTTCGATCTAAATATCAAAGTGCTTTGAACATTTTATTAAATAGTCGATGTGAACACCAAGATATTAGGTTGGAGAAAAAGTAATTTCGGTTTTTTTTCATGTTTTTCAAAGTGAATTTGTTAATATAAATTTTAAACACTAATCAATGATATATGTGCCGTTCTGATCGATGACTTTTTGCCACTTCTCTGGTAAAACCATAATTCCGTAACTGTAGAACTTCTGAGGTTTTTGGGCGAAAAACTGAACCAAGTGATTTTCACAAGCCTCTTTTGAACCCAGCTTTACACAATTAAGAGAGTTTTGCAGAGACCGGAACAAATGATAGTTCAACGGGGCAAGATCAGGGCTATACGGTGGATGCATCAAAACTTCCCAGCCAAACTCTCTCAGTTTTTGACGAGTCACTAAAGATATGTGCGGTCTAGCATTGTCGTGATGGAAGACGACGCCTTTCCTATTGATCAATTCTGGCGGTTTTTTTTCAATCGCCTGCTTCAGTCGCATTAGTTGTTGACAGTAGACAGTCGAATTAATGGTTTGGCCAGGTTCGAGCAGCTGAACAGCATGAACAATACCCTTCCAATCCCACCAAACACTCAGCATCACCTTCCTTGGCGTCAATACGGGCTTCGCAACTGTTTGTGAAGCTTCTCCGGGCTTTAACCACGATCTCTTTCGCACATTATTCTCATACGTGAGCCACTTTTCATTGCCCGTAATCATTTGTTTCGAAAATGGCTCGATTTCGTTTCGTTTCAGCAGGGATTCACAAATGGAAACTCGGTCCATTAAATTTTTCGACATTAATTCATGTGGAACCCAAGTATTGAGTTTCTTTTGGTATCCAGTCTTATGTAAATGGTTCAAAACTGTTTTATGGTCGACGTTTAGTTTCGTAGCAATGTCGCGTGATGAAATATGTCGGTCTACCTCGATTTCATTAAGAATTTCATCGAATTTTTTAACGATTGTTTCAAGGTTCATCTTTAAGATCGAAGTTTTCGGAACGAAATCGAGCAAACCAATTCTGACACTGGCGTTCACTTAAGCACTCATCACCATAAACACTACACAATTTTCGATGAACCTGCGCTGCAGTTTTTCCTTTTCGGAAGTAAAAAAGCAAAATGTGACGAAAGTGGCCTTCTGGAATCTCCATTATCAAAGCGCAATAATTTTTGAATGAGTAAACGAATGACGCTACTTTGTACTCTAGGATGTTCTATAGACTGTAACCTTCTAAACATACTATAGTATGGCTTCATTGAATAAGCATTACTAGAGATATACAACTTTAATGCCATCTATTAGGAAGAACCGAAATTACTTTTTCCCCAACCCAATATTACTCCTCATTAAAATGAGATCATAAAACTTGAAAACCCCCATACCCTTCTTATATGTAAAAAACAGCAATTCTATGTTTCCACCGACACAAATAAAGAAAAATTAATGTTTCCATTTTCTAGCTGATTATCCATTTTTAAAAAATTTCAGTCTTCAATTCGTGATTTTTGCTTTTAATGCTTCATTCATTACATTCATCATTCTATCAAAAGACAAAGATAGAATTCGAATTGATGGGTATTCTTTCATTATTCGAAAAGATATTTGATGGGGTTATTCGTCGGTAGGGCCGTAAAAAGGTGCAGTTTTACAGTTGCCAAAAATATATATATCAAGAATAAGAATAAATCGAATTAACTTAATCTAATTCTGAAGACGGAAAAGGCGAAAAAATAAAATAATATAGTATAAATCAATCTAGCGACGGGCACAAAGCATCCGTTCGCTAGTTCGACATAATTTGCTAGAAAAATTAGGAAATGTAAAAATTGAACGGATTTAATGCTTTCATTGGCAAGCAAAAACGTAATTGCCTATATAGAATAGACGAATCTGGAAGCTCGTGGTGCGGCCTCAATGGGTCACACTTACTTCAACCCGCCGTCATCAACCCGTGCACCCACTTTTGGCAGCAAGCGAAGCGAGCAACCAACAACCCATCACATTAGTTTCGAAATTGAGCAAAAAAATGGATTTTTCGTCTTAAACCAATTTACCACTTTGCTCTTGAAATGTATTTGGCTAATGGACTTGATAAATAAATATCGCACGAGAATATTTTTGAATTGATAAATATTCTTTTAAAAATTAAATGTTTGTGCTAAGAATTGTTATTTACCGAAGGAACACGTAGGCTCAAGGAAGTAAATTTTAATATCACGCACTGAAGATATGATCAGATTGAAATCACTTTCAAATCATCATGTTGATATGTGCCGACACGATCGAACGTGTCGTATCAGTTGAATCCTCGAGCCGAATGAGTATATAAACTCAATTCGAATGCTGGAGAGGACATCAGACAGCTCAAGTGGGTCCATCATGAGAATTCCACTAAGTTCACTTTTACCTGCAGTTCTCCTGACCACTGGGTCTTTGATTAGTCTATCATGTGCTAGTCCTTTCGTAAAAACGAAGGAATTAGCTGGAACAGAACAACAAATACGTACGATTGAAATTGGACCGGAATCATCAGCTGTAGCGGCAGAACGAATCTCCAAATCAGTTGCTGATGGCGATATTTCTCAGGTGTGTAGAAATTCTAATTACCTTAAATGCTTCTTGCCGAACTAATAACCTCAGCTTATATACTCCCGCTCCACTTAAGGGGAGACTGCCATGAGTTTTAAAGGTCGCGGACTATTGAAGTGAGATTTTTCATACATTGGAGATCGATTATATATGTCTATAAACTAATAATTAGTGCAAAAAAATTATTTGTTTTTGTTCGTCTGCCTCGTCGACGCTTAAAATATTTAAAATATTCCAGGGCCTCTAATTCTTGAGCTACAGAGGTTTTTTTTCCAAAATTTTTGAAAAAATATATACAATAACAATGACGAGCTAGGTTTTTGAAATTCGACTCCTACATAACTAATTTTGTTATTTTTTAATATAAAAAATTGCACCATTCATGTAAAATAGCCCGAAAAATCGTTCTGAAAGAATCGAGAATATATTTTTAATATTTTGAGGATCATTTTTCTGGCTATTTTACATGAATGGTACAATTTTTTAAATGAAAAAACGAAATTAGTTGTGTAGGAGTCGAATTTCAAAAAACTAACTCGTAATGGCTATTGCACACTTTATTCAAAATTTTTGAAAAACAAAATCTTTGTGGCTCAAAAATTGGACTAGTTTTAACACTTCAAGCGTCTGCTAGCCAAACGAACAAAAACAATTAATTTCTTTGCACTAATCATTCATTTTTAGACATATATAATGGATCTTCAGTGCATTATAAATCTTACTTCACACTGATAGAAAAAATTATTTTTATTGAGATGTGTCTTTCTTGGAACAAGTATTATATACTTGAATGAATTTTAAATAAATAAGATCTTACGCTGAATATCAATTATTTCTTCTGGAGATACATTTATTGAATCAAATAAAACGGTCCTTGGCATCAAGTCACATGTATTCACCACAAAAATGGAAAAGTTCAATTTTTTTAAAACTAACATAATCTCCAGTCAAGGAACTTTCTACTTTCATCTATTGATCAAAAATTCGTACCTAGGAGTTTTTTGCATTGAGCAATTAATTGAATGTTGTTTTTTCGAATGAAGCCGATGTTTCAATTGGGCATTCCGTACATCATATTGAACGAAATTTGTGATATCCAGGTGTGTGTTGAATTACCGTAATATGTGATTCTGTTATTGCAAACTAATGCCATTTTTTTAGTAAAAAAATCTAAACTTTTTTCAAATCAACGACATTTTACTACAATCTCAAAGCTTTTGTCGCGTAACAATTCGACATACGAAATGCTCACTTCAATTATAATTGACTTGGAATAACGTATGATCGTGTTGATTGAAATAGCAACGTATTTAGTGATGAGAATAATTTTGATTTTTGAGTAAACCAACGAATTTCTGGAGTTAGCGAACTTTTGGCTAGAATGAAATCAAATATTCTCATTATTGCGACAAATAGAAGGTACTTCAATTCTAGAGTAGTTCGATTTCTCCCAATCAAATGTATCTTAAGAAGACATAACTGGTATTCACTATGAAATCATGTTTATTTGAACAAACAAATGATAGTTGGTTCAAAGAAAATCCTCTTGATAAAATTGATTTTCATCACGCTGTGACGAAAAGTGAACTTTTCGGCACGCTCCGCGTGCCTCAAAGTCCAATTTCCGCCACATTGTGATGAAAGATATTGTTCATAACTCGGGAAAAAATGTTTTTTAGCTCATGGGATTATATCACTCGCTTTCGGCTCGTGATATAAACCTCCCACTCGCCAAAAAACTTTTTGCACTCGTTACGAAATATACTATTTTGCGGTCAGTGCAATAATTAATTCCCCACGTGAGCTGGTGTTCTCTAGCACTCAAATCCAGGTTTCCTCTTTGGCAAACCAGAATTCTGTTCGAAGTAATTGCGATAATTTCGTTCGATATTTTGAGCTGATAGAGTGTAACCTTACAGATTTCGACCGATGGGAGGAGTAGTAGGCTGCCAGAGCTATTCGGTAGAATGAGACGCTCTTCAGATTCAAAGCCAAGCGAAAAACTCTGTAAATGTGTAGACTCTAACATTCAATTCAAGGGCAAAGGAGTTCTCTTAAGAATTATTCGCGATATCGCGAATTTCCTGAAGTGCGCTCAAACAACCCTAAACGACTTAAGCGAACTGAACTGGCCAGGCCAAGGGGGCAAATCCTCCGATGGTAATGCAACATCGACAGGTCCAAGTTTAGCAAAGCTACTACTTGATGACTTGCCATCACTACTGTTGTATGTATTGAAACAATCGGATGACATGTCGATTGTCAATCATGAAGGCCACAACAAGGAACCGATCAAGAAGGGTGATAATGGTGGTGGTATTGATTATCCATATATGAGCTATCAAGATAGTGGTGACAATGGTGCTGGTAATGATGGAATTAAAGAGAAAATAGATCCCAATGAGTCTAGCTCCGATGAACTTCTCAAGTATACCCTCTCAAAAATGCTTCACTTACTAGGAAAGTTGTCGGGTGCCAATAATCAGCAAACCGTACTACTTGAGGAGTTCGAAAAAAAGATAGAAAACCTTTCTTCTCAGGACATTGAAATGATCGCAGCAAGAACCAACGTCACTGATCCCAGGTGTAAGCTCATGATACAGAAGAAAATTAAGACTATTCGTTCGTTGTCTGCCCTTAGCCGATCGATTGTAAATTGGCTTGGTGCTGTTACCGGTGCTTTGAACGATCTACATTCATCATTTAATGATCCAGGCCGTTTGTGCGCGAAACTTGAGGATGATAATCCCACATTGTCGCTATTCAATGTGAGCGGTCTTCTCACTGGAAAACTTCGTGACGCCTTGCAATCAAGTTCATCATCGGGAGAACTTTGTTTACCCGTAGATAAGTTCACCGCATGGATTTCTCAGCTAGTAGAAGAATTTCCACAGTTGGGAGCCTCTGTACAGTCCCTACCTATTCCAGGATTACTATCTGCATCCTCTTCTGACTGCAAGTCAAGACCATCAATTAAAATATCATATAAAGATTCAAATACATGTGGCCAATCAGGTTCCAAGTCCGGACAGTCAGTTAATTCCGCGGCTTCACCTAACGTTGAATTGGTAATCAACTCCTGTGATAACAAATCGCCGAAGAATGAGAACAATCCATCGCCCGCAACACCGGGATCAGCACCGTTACCGTCCAAGGATGAAGGTTCGTCTGCACCAGCCCCCTCATCAAGCGATTTGAATCCACAACCTTTCGCAGGTTATGAGAGCGATGACGATGACGAATGAGCCGTAAGTACACGTACGTCTTAATCCTCTCAGGTGAAAGTCGGCTTGTCAGGCGGAGTGGGGACGGGCAATTTTTACGGAAAGTGCATAGAGTGGTGAAAAATATAGGGCTGCGCACGAGACTTCACTTTGAGATCGTCTCGCGCTAAAAAGCATGGAAATTTTTGGAACTGTCTCAGTCTCAAAAGGCATAGTATCGTATCGTCTGACTGAGACTGTCTCGAAAATTTCCATATTGTTTTAGAGCGAAACGATCCCTTCAAAATGAAATCTAATTTGGGTTTCGTGCGCACCCCTAGTGGAAACGTCCATTCACCTTAGAGGATTAATATTTGATCTCAGAAATAAAATAGATTTCTTCAACCTTCTGTTTTTTTATGCGCCCAGGTTCTCTAACTCCGATAGTCCGATAGTTTAAACACGACGACAATATATGAAGATCTGCTATTTACGATTTATCCTCGTTTAGAAGTCTGGTGGAGACGTTAGAACTTTCATCCTCCAGCATCCGGGACTAAATCTCAGTGCTATTCTGACTGCTCTACAAATATAGAAAATTAGTAGTATGTTTTACAATTTGGGATTGTCATATGATGGTGCAATTCTCTTATTGGAAAAATTAAGGATACTTTTAGTGCCGCAGTTTCCAGTAGTTTCATAAGTCATAGATGCTTGATAACACGTAGTTCGTTAGCAGGCCATATAACTTATCATCAGAGATCCAATCTTCTTAACACGGCAATGAAGGCTGTGAGAATTCTATTTTTGCAGAATAATTTCTTAAAACGAAAAAAATGGTTTGAAGTTTTTGACTCTGATCGTAAGTCACCTGGCTTGTCAGTTCACCATTGTCAGTGATAATGATTGTTCTGAAGTACTTAGATTGCTCATAAATTTAGATCATAATGTTACAGTATTAATTATTGTTTAATCAATTCAGTTCCAACAATGTCTGAATAAAGCATGATGGTATAATGAATCTATGTGGGTTTAGTAGTACTGCAATGATATTACCTCCAATCCAACTTATCCTAGAAGGGCGAATAGCCACGCATCTTTTTTATATACTTCGACATTTACTGTGAATTGGATCTAAGGAGAATGTCCCAGTTATAGCTGAACTTTTCAAATATTCAACGTATTTTCTGAGCCCTGCAGTTTATTATTTGACACGCTGAAATCTGAAATAGCATATTTCAGGACAAGTGACATGGGGTTTTTTACTCGCGTGGAGTTGGCGTCTGAGCCATAGTCGAGGGCTGGCCAACTACGCGAGTAGAAAAACTCCATGGCACTATTCGTGAACGGTATTTTTCCGTTGTGATTTTCACTTTTACGAGTTCGGGGAAGGGCTAATACCAATCCCCGGACGAGGAAAAGTGAAGAGCAGTACGGAAAATGATTTTTCATCACACTGTCCGTAAAACGTCGTTAACGTCGAACACTTTGGGTCCATCAACCGCCGTTTACGGATATTGGGCAGAAAAATTATGTTCGTCACTCAGCCAAAAACAACTTTTCTGACTCTTGATTCCATTCCTCGGTTCCGTCTCGGTCTGTAACCCTCACACTCGTCAGAAAATTTTTTTTCGGGCTTGTAACGAAAATAGCTATTTTGACCTACACGGAGAAAATAAAATTCGCGATCGCAAAGTAGACGTAGGAGCCATCAAGAGGTCTCTAAACTAACTACTCTTGGGGGCCAACCAATGAGATCAAGGAGAACCGAGTGATCTCATTGATTGACGCCTATCATTGGTTCGCTCCTAGTGATTTCATTGGTTGGCCTCTAAGAGTAGTTAGTTTAGAGCCCACATGGTGGCTCTCACATTTACGTTGCGATCTCAAATAGTAAATATTGCTATGTCGGAATCCGCACATAGTAAACGTTACCAAAGATTTGTAAGTATTACTATTGATTTGGTAATGGCTACCATGAAACATCATAATGGTTACTATAGGGCATGGTAAGCTCCCCAATGGTAATAGGTCTTATGGACATAGCAATAATTACTATGTTACATAGTAGAGCCTACTATGTTAAGGAGAAACTACTATGAGTTTTAAAAGTTACGGGCCATTGAAATGCGATTTCTCACACATTAAAGACGATTAATTGTTCATTGTTCGTTTGCCCCGCAGACGCATAAAATGTTAAAAATAGTCCAGGACCTCCAATTTTTGAGCTAAAGGTTTTTTTTCAAAGTTTTTGAAAAAATATGTAGAGTGACAATTACGAATTAGTTTTTTGAAATTCAACACCTACACAGCTAATTTTGTTATTTTTTTATAACAAAATGCACCATTCATGTAAAATAGCCCGAAAATGTTTCTGAAAGAATCGAGAATATATGTTAAATATTTTGAAGATAATTTTTCCACCTATTTTACATGAATGGCGTAAATTTTTTTTCATCACGCTGTGACGAAAAGTGAACTTTTCGGCACGCTTCGCGTGCCTAAAAGTCCAATTTTCGCCCCATTGTGATGAAAAATATTGTTCGTAACTCGTGAACAAATGTTTTTTGCACTCGTTACGAAATATACTATTTCATCACGCTGTGACGAAAAGTGAACTTTTCGGCACGCTTCGCGTGCCTAAAGGTCCACTTTCCGCCCCATTGTGATGAAAAATATTGTTCGTAACTCGTGAACAAATGTTTTTTAGCTCGTGGGATTATATCACTCGCCTTCGGCTCGTGATATAAACCTCCCACTCGCCAAAAAACACTTTTTTGCACTCGTTACGAAATATGCTAATTTTAAACAAGACGAAATTAGCTGTGTAAGAGTCGAATTTCAAAAAACTAATTCGTAATTATTATTCCACCTATTTTTTCAAAAATGTTGAAAAAATAGAAACCTCTGTAGCTAAAAAGTTGAAGGGCCTTGGTCTATTGTAATCGTGTGCGGGGCAATTGAACAATAGACAATTAATTTTTTTGCACTAATTATCTGTTTTTACACATATATAATCGCTCTTCAATGTATGAGAAATCTCACTTCAATGACCCGCGACTTTTGAAGCTCATAGTAGTCTCCCCTTAAAAAAAAAAGATTCACTTTTCAAAAATTCGTTTTAACATGATTAGATGAAGACACGGCTTTAAAAAAAATCATCACCTCTTATTTCACGTATTTCTATAGGATAACCGGGAGAAAACTCCAATTTTTTGCTTGCGCCTTATTGAAAAATATAAAATTGACAAATTTTGAGGTGTTTTATTAGAAATCCATTTATAAATCATTCATTGGGCCTCGTTAATAAAGTCTAACACTTCTAATAGTTATTTTACATACTATGCCAGTATAATCACTGAATATTTGTCCACAAATTTGATTTTTTTAGATTGTTCGCATTATTCTATCATTTCACGGAAAATGAATCTTCAATTTTCAGTTATAAAGCTCTTGGAAAATTACATTTATCGATTCATATATATTAATTGATATATTTTTATTGTATACTAGGGGGCTGTGCCCCCTGCTCGCTCCGCTCGCCAACCCCCATATGACTTACACATGACCCCGATAACCGTTAATTTTTTGCTCTTAATTTTAAGTACCAAATTTTTATCACCAGAAGTTGATGTGGATTTTTATAATATAGAGATGAGTCCCTTCGTCACGTGGGGTGAATGAGCTATTGAAACCCCAAAAAGAGAATTCCCTCCGTCGATTTTTACTGAAAAACTAGAATAAGTGGGTGATTTTATTTATTTTTTGGGAAGAAAACTGGGAATAAATAGAAATATGAACAAATATCAATTGAATATGCTAACATAATATGTAAAATAACTATTGAAAGTATTATAATTTATTAACGAAGCTCAACGAATGATTTATGATCGGATTTCTACTAAAAAAAAACAAAAAATTTGTCAATTTTATTTGTTTTTAGGATGGCGCAGGCAAAAAATGAGTTTTCTTCGCGTTATTCAATAGAAAAACATGAAATAAAAGGTGTTGATTTTTTTCAAAGTTGTATCTTCATATAACCATGATAAAATGAATTTTTGAAAAGTGAATAATTTTTTAAAATAGAAATTATTGTAAAAAAATGAATAAAAAATATCACATGAAGGTTGATATGTTTCTGATTTTTCAGATTTTTAGAACACTTTTTGACGGCTAAAAAACATGACATTAAAAAAAGATGATTTTTTTGCGATAAAATCTGAAAATTTGCATACAGGCATATTTTATCATGATAAACAATAGAAAAAATTGGCGTTCAAAATTCGTTAGGGGCATTTTCACCATATTTATACCGCTAGACCCTTTAACAAACTAATCGATGAATTAAATTTTTAAATCACAAATTCCAAAATACAATATGTAGATTAAATTTTAATTAATGTCAATGGATAGGGGTGAACAATACCTACATTTGGAAAAAAATGATTCAATTCCATGGATTTATTAGCAACCAATTAAAAAAAAAGTTCGTCACATACAAACATACACACATACATACGAACAGGATTTAAAAATGGCATATTCGGACTTTTAGGGATAAAACACAAAAAATCTGAACCTTAAATTTGAACGATAACAATGCTTCCATTCGAACGCAAAAATAGTCGTATGTGTTGGACAATACAACCATTCTGATTCCATAATGCAATAAGTAAGAATTTATTTCAATTAAGTGGTTCACCAACTTGCGTAATTAGCTCGAGGTCAAAGCGCGTAATTTGCAAAAAATTCGCTGCATTGGCTTTGTTCTGATTAACCGATATTCTTATAAGTAACAAGCTGGTGCGTCAATGTAATCACTGTATCTCGGAATTCGCCAAGGTGTCTTGACGACCACAAATCGGCAGAATGGACATCTCAAGTCTGCTAAAAATCCTGGTAGGATTTCTATTCATCTTCATAATCAATAGCGCGACTGCAGCATCGCTATTGTCATTCAGTTCTGAAGAATCAATCGAGATACCCAATCCACGGAGGATAAGACAGTACAACGACTCACCACATCATCGACCTGTTATCGAACTGATCCTCGGAATTTTGGATACTTTTCATTCTTCTACAAAAGCTGAAATCAGACGGACGAGAGCACATCAGGAACGTAACGCCGTGGAACCCTCTAGAACAGTAACTTCTGAATAATTATCAGACTTCTGAAAGTTCATGATTGTAATCTTTGTTAAGTGTGTCAATGCCATATGTAAAATTATCAACAAAACAAAATACAATAAATTATATTCGTTGTATATATGTATGAAAATGTACCCTTGTAGTCTAAATGATTATTACGCAATATCACATGATATTTTGCCACCAGTCGAGGTTGTAATCAGACAAATATCCATCACTACTAAAGATGATTAATCAGGAATATAATCTCGCGAAAAGACAGTCAAGCAGAAATGAATAAAAAATGATTTCACAGGATTTTCGTCACTGAACTATACACTTGGAAATACCACGTGTGAAAAGAAATGTGTGAAATTCTCAGAAATGTTGATGTTCAAGAACAAGACAGCAGAAAAAAAATCAAAAAGCTTATCCTCCCGATAAGAATGTAAAGTCAGTTGAATGGGATTACTATGATGTGCATGTATAATTCTCTGCGTTTTTCACGCTATATAACACGAGAACTTGTACGATTTCCTTCATAGTCTCATCCGTCGTAACACAAATATAAGTAAATAATAAATACAGAATAACGACATAACAGTTCATGACTTTTGACCTTCTTATCAGATAATCTCCCTGGCTCGGCGTTAACTAGAAAAGCCCAGAGCGCTTGTCATCAGTTGGCTTCCACAGTTTCTTCAAGTCAGGCTATTTCTTCTCCTGCCTTCACCCAACATTAATACTAAAATGGCACGTTGGTACTTGATTGTTATGGCTATTGCCCTCTTCGTCTGCCTCAGTCAGGTGAGCTAGATTAATTTTCTCATGACTAATAAAACAGAGAACATAACTAATCAATTCGCTAATCATCATATGCTGTTCAGGCTGCTCCAGCCCAGGAGGAGGCCACCGCCAACAAACTCCAAGAGGAGTTGAACAAAGTGTACGAGTCATTCAAACAAAGCCTTGAAACCATCTCGAAGGATCCCAAGGTCCAGGACCTTATCAAGCAGGGCCAGGATTTTGTCCAGAAAGTACAACAGGAAGCTGGCAAACTCATTCCCAAAACCGACAGCACTGCGGCTGCATAAATAATGGGAGATGCATTCTTTCCTCTTTTCGCTATTAATAAATTAATCGAATTGTCTGTATATGAAAAATTTATGTAATGGATTCGAAAGATTGAGAGTTTTTTCTCACAATATGAAAGAATGATGTGGCGGAGAGGAGATATGGTAATAAAAATAAAATTCAGAGCGATATAAAGGTCAATGTGTGTTCGTATCATGATTTTTCCCATCACCATACAATTCCTTATCAAAATGATTCAGCCTGGGACCCGGGGTGTTTATCGAAGAAATAGTTTATATTTATTATTGGCTTATGGGGTTTAAAAATGAGAAACATGTTTTATCTATGTGAACACTTTAATTGAAAAATCTCTAAGACTCTACACAGTCAGGAGGTAGTTGACACTATGAATATCTACGAGAGACTAAAGATGGTTGCCAGTGAGGCCCAGGGCTAATATAGACCTAGAAAGGCAATATAATTTCCACCCCCTGAAGCAAACGCTCGGACTTTCCTCTTGACCCGCCTGGTCGCCAGGTGTACTTGTGGGAAAAACCCACATTTGGGTAAAACCCATAATTAAAAGTCCCGAGAGGACTTTTCCCCCATTTTACACTCTCAGGGAAGACCCCATAGCAACATAAAGCAATAAACCTTTCCTTAACATAAAAGAACTTGGGAGAGTGAATTTTGATCTCGGGGAAAACCCCGAAAACCATCATTTATCGATTGTCATTGGGAGCTCGAAAATGTTTACTCTATGAGTATTCTCGAGTCATCAATGTGAGGTGACCTCCCCCGTTATCTTTTTATTCATACGGATTTACTACAACGCTCAACAAAGAGATCAATGGAAAATATAACAAAGTAAATTCCATAGTACAATGCCAACTTTATTCGTCTCAGCTGCAAATCGTGCTGATGTAATACTGACCTTTAGTGAACTCTCTGTTTCACGTGATGACCCAGTCGGAAATTTGAGATAAGATAATTCCGAAAAAATTGTTTTTTGAATTTTATTCTCCCAATTTTCGAACGAAAGTTATCGAGTGAGAGATATTCAATTTAAAGAGCGCGGAGAAACGAAACAATGTAGAATGCATGTTTAACAAATGTCTACCGAAAGTGAATAAAGATAAATTCTCGAGAAAGAATGTTAATCAAGTCTACCAGGACTGACGCCATCCAATGCTTATCGAAATATCCGTTCCAAATCTAATGAATATAATCATTTCTAAAAATGTATGAATCCATCCACTTTTAAAAAATCCAGTGTAACGATTCTTGAATCTTCTATACCACTTATCAAGTCATATAATATGATGTATATGTATATTCTTTTATGTACTGTAATCGTTTATTTACAGTAATTGTAAAAAAAAAGAGAAATTGATTTCTTACTGTAACACAAAAATACATATATCAGATAGTATATATGTATATAGTACATAACATCCCTAACAATAAAAAAAAACGCAAAAGAGAAACGAAGAGAATTACCACGATTCCGAACAAATTATTCAACAATTAAATTCTCATTGTGAAAAACTTTGTCGAAACCGTTCATTTTTGCTTCAGAATGGAAGCATTGTAATCGTTCAAATTTAATTTTTGGATATTTTATGTTATATCCACCCATTATGATCCAACAAGTCCGAAAATGCCATTTTTAGCCCACGTCCGTACGTATGTGTGTATTAACGTTTTTCTTCAATTGTTCGCTAATGAATGAATGGAATTAAATCTTTTTTTTCAAATGTAGGTATTGTTGAGCCCTATCGACCGCCATTAATTAAAATTTGATTCATCGATTAGTTTTTTAAATTTTGGAATTTTTTCGAAAATCGGTCGTTTCACGATAACTTAAAAAAAATGTTCTAAATTGATTGAATGATGGCTTAAATAATTTTTTTGGATGACCCTTTGACCCCGTTCAAAGGTGAAGGCGATAGCAATAAACGTTATTTTGATTTATTCGAAAATTTTCAAAAATTTCGTGTTTATTGAAAACTTGAATTCCGGGCGCTTCTTTAAATATCATGCTTCAAAGCTTCAAAGAATTTCCCTGAAAGTGAGCTTTCTGATGGTTTCTTTGAATGTGATGTTTCAAATTCATTCAAGTATGCGTAAATAACATTATTCTATTAAAATTTTCTCGAAGGGCTGGGGGGAGAGATAGAACTGTGAAAAGACAATCGGTTGTGTAGAAGAAAAGAGATAATAAAAATAATGATGCTGATAACATTCAACTAAGTTGAAAATCGGACGAAATTAGGTCAAAGGAAATCTTATTCAATTTAATAAAATGAAATAAACAATGAATTATACATGATAGAAGGAAACGATGTGCAAAATAACCATTTGGAAGCATATTACTACACGGAGAGAAATATTCAATAAAAATTACCAGAAAAAAGACGTAAAAATTACGTTTCGAAACGTAATCTGGGAGCGAAGTAAAATTCAATAAAAAGTGTCATTCGTCACGTAAATTCTACGATCTGTTCCGTAAAAATTACTCATCCGTCCGAGGCCTCACGGCTAGCCATGAGTCACCATGAGGGGGAGATTTTAACAACACGTTTCGTAATTTTTCCGGAACTTTTCGTAAAAATTCTTAAACATCCAAGAATTTTCATGTTCTGAGGCATAATAAGTCTGGAAGTTTCTGTTAGATTTTACAACTTCCAGGAAAATTACGTGACTTTTTCGTATTTTTTCGGTGACAGACCCGAAAATTTACTGAACGTTTCAGATTTTTTCTCTTATATTCCTATAGAAATTCACTGAAAACGATTCTCGCTTGCGAATTACGTGAAATGTTCCGTAATTTTTCTTGAATATTTCTCTCCGTGTAATTTATTAACAAAGATAACTATACAATATACAATACAAGAGCAATTTCTCATTTGTTCCTGCATTATTATTGCGATAAAAATTAATGAAAATGAGAAACTGTAAGGTTTTACAATACGCGTGCGAAGCGCGCGCACTCGTTTTCACGCACGAAAAAATTCAATAGAAAAATCTAGCGAATTCGTTAAAAAATTCTATTGGATTTCTATTGCACTGTCTATTTTAGTCGATTCTATTGAAATGTTCAATAGAAAATATTCAATAGAAAAAGTCAACAGATATTTTCTTTAGAATTTTTTCGGCTCAAATTTTCTCAAGTTTTTTTCATTCTATTTTTCTTTTCTTCTGATCAAGAAAATTAAACTAAAAAAGGGAGAAAATTTGAGTCGAGAAAATTCTACAGGAAATGTCTCAATTGAATAAGTTACATAGAAAAATCAAATTCTATTGACTTCTTCTATTGAATATTTTCTCTCGAACATTTCAATGAAATTGGCCAAAAACTAATAGAAAGTTCAATAGAAATCCAATAAAATTTTCTAACGAATTCGCTCCGTGTTTCTATTACATTTTTTCATCCATGATAGGTCAACAAATTCCAGAAAAACAAGGGAAGACCACGACGTGAGGTCCCCCACAGTATATGGAGAGAGTATGAAAGACTCCGTGTTCGGAGAACGAAGTACTGATACCCAGCACTTTGCCCCCAGTTTCACAGATAACAATTACTATAAAAGAGGGAGGGAAATATAAAGATTGCATCAGTCGTTTGTATTACTCTGACAAAAAAGGTTTTGACAGTTGGCATATTTCTACATTAAAAAATGAAGGGTGCTTGTGGAATTATTGTGCTTGGCTGTGTAGCCGTTGCATTTGGATATCCAGCGGGTGAGGCGCCAGCAGCCGCCCAGCCAGCTCCATTGTCAGATTTGATTGAACAGGCCAAGGCCGGTATCACCAATCTTGGACAGGAAATTTCCAAGCGCTTGGAAAAGGATGGCCAGACTACCCTCGAGTCCCTCAAGACTCAGAGCACAAATTTCGCTAATAATCTTCAGGAGTTGCTCAATAAGGTCTCCGAAGATGTAAGTTTAAATTTTATATATAAAATCTCTCTCCTAGGAGAAAGATTAATTACTAATTAGGAATTGTAATCAGGAGAATTTAATAACGAAATGTCTGATCCGTTAGGTCAAGGCGAAGAGTCCGGAAATCCAGAAAGCTTGGGATGGAGTGAAAAACAAATTCACTGATGTTGTCAATGACATCAACGCCCAAATTCCCCAGGCTCAACAGCAGGCGAGCCAACTTGGAACCAAACTGACACATGGGCTGAATGTTCTCGTTGAGGAGTCCAGCAAAGCTGCTAAGGAGATCAGCAAAAACTCAGAGCAGGTCCAGGAGGATCTTGCCAAGTTCACCAAGCAGGCTGTTGAGATTGCAGTCAAGACTACCAACAATCTCGACGCTCAGTTGCGACAATTGGCCGTCACCGAGACACCAAAGGCGTAATTTCATCAAATATGAAATAACATCGAAATGTGAAAATTTTTGAACTTTGTGCTTCGGACAAATTTTATATATTCTCGATGTAGGAAGCATGGAAAGAATTAAATAAGAATTTAGAAAAATAGTATCTATTTTACTTTATCTTTATCCCAGTACAAATTTTTTAAATAAAAAATAACATCTTTTGTTTGGCTTCGGATTAATCATCAAATCGAAGTAAATTACGATCTCGCTCTCGATCACGATAATTAGGTCTTCTGCACGAAGTCATCCTCAGTGGTGATAGTTCCACGGAATCAGGAATTGGGAGAAACTGACAGACAAAAGACGCAATTTTGATTACTACTCTTATAGCTTTGGAGGCGAGTAAACTGAGAGGACTGCAATACTGAAAGTCGTCTGGCTCCGAATAGGACACATAATTCTTGCCCGGTGCTGCTACAACTTGCTATTATTAAAAAAATGAATCATTAGACATTAAAAACAATCGATCAAATTTTATAACGACTCATTTATGCAGATATTCAACTTACATGGTGGAGTAACAAAATGATAACTGCAGACGCGATGAGGAAAGTCACTCGGTTATTCATTATTCAACTGAAGCTGTAGACTAAGTTATTCCCAAACGCGATGTGATGCGTGAGGATAATGTAAGTGAACTCATGCTTCCGATTGTTCACCTGCGGATGTGATTTTTTACATGCGGAAGTTGAAATTTAAGAAATTGCAAAATCCGCTCTGATCCGTTAAACAATAACAGATAATAAGTACGCCATTCTTATAACACCATTTTGTGTGCTGAGAAGGAAGAAAATGTATCAGTGTCATTGTGTCATATTTTGTTTGTTATTGTCCATACTTCTAGTTACATCGTGTGATCCATTGAACCCTGATGTTTTGAAGTATCACCCTCCTGTGAGGCAGGTTTGTTGAATTGATTGATTAAATTATTTTTTACTATAATTGATTTTTATTCGCAAAGTAGGATTATTGGGAAAAATGAAGCAGAATAGAGACTTGATTTCATTTTAAATATTCATAAACTAGCGAACGGATTGATTTATACTATTTTATTTTATTTTATTTCCATTTTCGTCTTCACAATTAAATTAATTTAATTTTATACATTCTTATTCTTATTATATATTTTTTCCCTTAATTCACAAGTTATAAAATTGAATAAAGAGGAATTATGTTGGAGATCAATAAAAAGTGGTTTTCCTTTGTGATGAAAACAAACACACAAAACAAGAGTCATTCGAAATCTCATTCGAGTAATAGAAAAATCTCTCCATGTATTCCTAAAAATAAAAAAAATAAAAATTTTCCCGTCATATAGTAAAAGGATATCGGTACTCCTCATTTCTATGGTCAAATTCCAATTATTATTATGAAAAGGAAAATAAAAAAAAAATCATAAAGGGATAATCGGCTAGAAAATGGATTTTTTTCGTTTCTGTCGGCGAGAACTTCGAATCACTTTTTTTTTCGAGTATTCGAGGGATATCAATATTTCAGCCAGAAGAAAATAAAACAAGTGGATAATCGCATTTTGTGTATATGGGTATACTAGGTTGCTAACAAATTAGCAATATGCTTCCGCATGGATCCTCTATTTTTGAAATTTATTACTCTTATTTTTTTTGCTTTGAATAGTGACACCCATATGATTCTCTTATGGTTTCTATATTACCCTCACGGAGAGAAATATTCAATAAAAATTACGTACCTTTTCCGTAATTCCGGAGCGAAATGTGGTTGTAGGAAATTTTACGGAATTGTCATGGAATTTTTACCGCGCGTTCCATAATTTTTATCTGAATTTCCTGTGAAAAATTACGACACCGTAACTTAAATTTTCTGAGTCGATTCCGTAATCGGTGAGCGAATTGTGAGTTCCGTAATTTTCACTGAATATTTCTCTCTGTGCTTTTATGAGCTCATAGAACCCTCATATGACCCCATCTGGCTTCATGTGACATCTATGTGGCCCCACATGACCCTATATAAGCCCACATGATTGCATATCACTCCATATAATCCCGTATGACCCGAATATGACTCTTGTATGAGCTGATGCGATCCCGGTATGACCCCATAACACCATATCACTCCTTATGACTCTCATTTAACGCCTATGACCCAGTGTGACGCCCATATGACCCCGTATGATCCCCATATAATGTCATATTACTCCAATATGACCTCATGCAGCCCCTATATGAACCTCACACGGAGAAAAAAATACATCGTAATTTTGTGAGAATCGTTCCAAAAATTAGTGTGCTGTTCACGAACGCTGGGACAGAACAGGGAGTCATCGGAGAATTCGCATGTGGCACACTAATTTTTACGGGAATCCCCCGAAAGAAGTTACGTGCCCCCGTGAGAAAACGATTTGGAGATAAAGGTCTGTAAGGAAGGCAGGGTAACAATCCTCGATCCTATTCCTGCCACGAACCCTACTATTCGGCCGGCTGAACGCTTTTTTAATGAGGACGACGACGGCGGCAATGAAATCATAAAGCCTAAAGAGGCAAAAGACTGATGTTTCAATTGTCGATGAAGTGGTTGTGCCTTCTCCTCCCGGTTCACCAAAGTACGAGCGAGAGCCACCCATCGTCGGCAAACCCGGAATATCTCTGACTATCAAGTATGTGGCCACTTCGCAGAATGCCAAAACCCTCTTGCATAACATCCCTTACTTGAGTTTTGTTGGTGAAGCGAATGGTAATTACACCACATGCACAATATACGACTCTAATTGGAGCATTATTCATCGCATTAAAGTGGGTGTGCGTGTGAAACTGTTCGATCATCAACTGGTACAGATCGACGCCAGATACCCCTTCTTGTGTGATAATCCATATCAGATTGTAGTCTTCAACTCAAGCGACGTCAAAATTCTAAACTATGGTGAAAGAGAAGCTCAGAAGTTCTACCTGGCCAGCTTCGACGGACTAAGTGATGTGGAAGTATATGATTTTGTTGATACAGAAGCAATTGTCACTTGAATTCAATGCGATGTGGATCTCGTGAAAATTTGGACAGTAACAGTCATGGATCTGAATGAAAATCTGATTCCGATCATGATCGTTGGGCTACCAGAGCTTCCCTCTATGCAAATTGGTAACATTGTCCAGTGCACCAATCTCCAATTCCGCATAATCAAGGAGGAGTTTGAGCTCCATTTCATCGATGGAAAATCGAACATTGTAAAGATACAAACTAGAACCAGCTAAATATCTCAAATAGGCTGGAATTTTTCGAACTTTTTCATTTGCTCTACATTCCTTGAAGACGTATATCAGAGACAGATATCGTGATGTAATATTTGAAGACTTTATTTCCTTGGAGGATGAAAAATGGATGACAAAATATTCTGCTCTGTGTTCTTAAGGCTCTGTTCTACATCGATACCTCGTACTAGCTTTTTTTTCTTTTATTATTAAATAAGAACAAATTACATCTCTTAAAAACGTGTCATATCAGAGACACATCGTTTCGTATTATTCGAAGACTGCATTTAAATATTCAAGTCATCCCTGGAGGAGTACTAGTTTCTTTATTTATAAAATTGTATGAATGTTCATGTTTGTCTGCGCTGTGTCAAGCCAAAGACGTAGCTGAGTTAATACAGTTTTATATCGAGTTCTGAAAAAAAAAATTCTGTCATTTATTCTCTTCATTCTATCGAAAGACAAGGATACAAATCGAATTTATGGGTATTCTTTCATTACTGGAAAAAAAATCTACTTTAAAACTTTCCGGAGACATGGAAAAATTAATTTTTTAGGTCTTCTCGCCCACTTTTTTTGCATTTTTTCATCTTCTTCTCGCTGAAATGTTGATATCCCTTTAATACTTGAAGAAAAAAAGTAATTTGAAGTTCTCGCCAATATAAAAGAAAAAAAAAACATTTTCTAGCCGATTACCACGTATGAACAAAACCACTGTCAAGCCACGGATTTTCATGGTCATTTCATGGATTTTTCAGGGCCAGATTTTTGATGGTCATTTGGTAGACATTTGGGAGGTGTCCGTAACCAAGCGGGGAGGGATAATATTGGACCCCCGATTTGATTCCTGAGAATTGGCCCTTATTTTGATCCTTAATAATGATTGGCCCTCGGTTTGATCCTTATATTTTGACCTTTACATTTTGACCCTCGTTTTGACACTTATATTTTGAACTTTATATTTTGACCCTTAGATTTGGACCCTTGGTTTGGCTCTTAAATTTTGACCTCTGTTTTGGGTCTTAGATTGCGACCCTTAAATTTTGACGCTTGTTTTAACCCTTCTATTTTGACTCTTATTTTTACCCTTACATTTTGATTCTTATATTGGTACCCTCAAATTGTTTTGACCATCAAATTTTTACACCTATATTTTGACCCTTAGATTTGGACCCTTAAATTTTGACTCTTGTTTTGGCCTTCAATTTTTGACTCTTGCTTTGGCTCTTAAATTTTGACCCTTGTTTTGGACTTTGAATTTTGACAGTTACATTTTGACCCTTAAATTTCGACCCTTACCTTTAGACCCTTATATTTTGATTCTTATATTTTGTCCCTTGTATTTTGACCTTTCTATTTTGACCCTTATATTTTAACCTTTACATTTTGATTCTTATATTTTGACCGTTGTATTTTGACCTTCGTTTTTTGACTGTGATATTTTGACCCTTATATTTTGAGTCATATTTTGATCTTTATTTTTTTATCTTTATGTTTTAACTCTTACATACTGATCCTTGTCTCTGGACCTTTATATAATATTTTGATGGAATTAAGAGCGGAAAATTCCTGTGTTTGACCCATTATGGAGTGAACCAATAACTTCCTGACCGATTCTCATTTTTTCTGTTCTTCGAACATTTCGAAAAATCATCGATTTTAGAAAACATCAATGCCGGGATCAGGAATAAAAGTCTAAATGAGGGTCAGAAATAAGGGTTACAAATAAGACTCAGTCCTCGGGGTCAAAATATGCGTGTCAAAGTATAAGGGTCAGAACGTACGTTCTACGTAGAATGTCAAAACATTGAGAATGTATTCTACGTAGAATGTCAAAACAGAGATCTAAATATGAGCATCAAAATACAAAGGTCAAAATACAAGGGACAAAATATAAGAATCAAAATGTAAGGGTCAAAATCTAAACTTCAAAATTTGAGGATAATAATGTAAAGGTCAAAATACAAGGGTAAAAATATAAGAATCAAAATATAAGCATCAAAATCTAAGGGTCAGAATAAGGGTTAAAATCTAATAGTCAAACTGAGGGCCAATTATTATTGAAGGTCAAAATGGGGGCAATTTTCATGGATGAAATCGGTGGTCCAATATTATCCCTCTCCCCTTGGCTATAGACACGCCCCAAATGCCCCTCAAATGCCCAGCAAATGAGGATCAACAGCCATGAAATAACCATGAAATTCCGTGGCTTGACCGTGGTTTTGTCCATACGTGATTCCTTTATGATTCTTTTTTTCATTTCCTTTTCATAATAATAATTGGAATCCGGCCATAGGAATGAGGAGTACAGATATCCTTTTATCATATGACGAAAAAAGAAGATTTTTAAAAGTTTTAGGAATACATCGAATGACTCTTGTTTTGTGTATTTGTCTTCATCACAAAGGAAAAACACTTTTTATTGATCTTCAACATAATTCCTCTTCATTCAATGTTATATGTGAGGGAGTCTTTGGAGGAAGCCCCCAACAGTCGCACAACTACTTGCAGATGTTGCTTCAACAGTTTTGATAAGTGGAGACGTCTTAGTACTGACCTCCAGAATTGTTATCCTTGCTTCTGAAAAAACCCCAATCTCCAAGGGGTGGTTGCTGTAGGGCTGGTACTTTGGTTTTATTGCTTTACCCGCGACGTTTTCCAGCTGAACGCGAATCCCCTCCTTGA